GGGGAAGGGAGGAGAGGGGTTGAATGTCCAGTGCTCAGATAAGCCAGTTTATAAAGCTCGGAAAAGAGGCAAAATCATACAATCCGAGACACACATTGACATAACTTAATAAGAACCTTGGTGTAATAAGAAATTTTGTGTCGCAAGAAATTTACTGCAATAAGAAATGTACTGTAGTAAGAAATTTGCGGAAAGTGTTTCCGATGTTCTAGCCTGATGTGGGTATGTTTCCCCAAATCACAAATTTTTTATCGTACGCAATCCTCATTTGAGAGACGAATCCCTCCTCCAGGCGGCCCTCGGCCCGGCTCCGATGGCGACACGGCCCTCGGCGACACGGCCCTCGACGACACGGCCCTCGGCGACACGGCCGCTGCCATGCATCACGGCGGTCGTGACTGGCGGGCTCGCTGCGGTCGTGACTCGCGCTCGTCCGCTTCTCTTTCGATTGCTCGTAAAACCGGTGATTTTCTTTTTTTTTTTACCCGAATGCATGGACGTTTCATAAAGGTCAAAGGTGAAACAAAGGGCAAAGGACCTGGTAGAAGAAGCCGGAGAGATAGGCCAAGGCGTTACGATTGGGCACGGGCATCCGCCGGACGACCCCCGCCACCATCCGCGTCCGGTCCTCGCGTCCGGTCCCGGAGTCTGGGGGAGGGAGGGATCACGTGTCACGCCGCACACGCGCACACGCCTCACGCACCAGACGAACCCGTTTCCTCAATGAAACCTCTTAAGCGGGGCTACGATGCATGCATAAGAGATGTCGGAGTCCATTCATCCTACTGGGGGCAAGGGCGGCTCCAAGGAATGCGGGGGGCAGTGGGGGGCAGTGGGGGGCAGAGGGGGGCAGTGGGAGCGAATTATAAAAATTATTTTAAATGCGAAAAAAATTTGATTGAGGGACGATCGCCCTCGCCTCTCGCCCCCCTTCGCACCCCCTCCTCTAGTCTCTCGAATCCGCCCCTGCTTGGGAGGTCCCTCGCCTCCCTTCCGGTCCCCGTATCGATTGCATATCGATTGCAGATCGATCGGGGTCAGACACACGCTCGAAAGTGTCCCACTGCGGGGGGGGGGGGGGGGGGGGAGGCCCTCCCCTTCCCGGAAAATTGAGCTAGGACGAAGANCGGGGGGGGGGGGGGGGGGGGGGGGAGGGAGGTCATCGCGATCCTTTCTTTCCCCGGAAAAAAACGGAACCAGTCGCTTCCTGAGGGGATTAAGCGGATTTGGGGGATTTAAATCGGATTTGAGTGTGAAACTTTTTAAGGATATTCGGATGGCAAAACTAGCCTTACAATTAGTCACTTAAAACTTACAAAGTTGTAAAAAACCAATTGAATAATTTTCCTTCGATATCCAATATTTAAAATTCCCAACTAAAATTTACCATAAATTTAAACTAATTAAAACGAAATTGAACAAAATGAAGCCCACCTCGACACGCCCTCAGAAACCGTCCGTTAAACCCCGGCGGCACCAGCGCCCCCCTCATCGCCTCCAGGAAGCGAAGCACGACGACGGCAGCCGGCGGCTCGTCCCTCCCCGCCAGCAGCGCCGCGCAGCGTCCCCTCTCCTCCACCTCCTCCGCCAGCGCCCTCGCCCGCTGCGCGTCCGCCGAGCGGAACAGGGATGGGTTCAGGATGTCTGCGACCGGATCCCACGTGCTCCATGTAGATATATATATATATTTATATTTTATTATTTAATTAAACGAAAAGTGAGACGATCTATGCGACCGACTCCAAAAAGTGGCTAATTTAAGTAATTTAAGAAGAGAAGAATGAAAGGAGCCTTTGGGATCCGAAAGGGGATATATATATATATATATTTATATATTTATATATTTATATATATATTTTACCCCAAAGGAAACCCAGACGCTTCTCGGCTCCCACTTTCCCCTCACCCCAAAGTCCCGTAGAATCGCCCGGGAGTCCCGCGGGGAAACGGGACAGGTGGCAGCCGCCGTCCGGCAATTACCGCTTCCCGAAATGGTAATCCGACCCAAAGCTGAATAATTTCCGGAATTTTTTTTATTTTTTATTTTTTCCTTTTTCCCCGCTGAGAAAACGGCGCCCACCTGCATCGAGACTTTTTTTTTTTTCCTCGCGTCAGGTTTCCGAATTTCAGCGTTTGAAACCGTGACGATTCGACTCCTCGCATTAATCTAGACTAATTAATCTCGATTAACAAGTCGACTCGATCGACTTTTAATTTATTATTTATTTTAAATGTATAAATTGTTTATTTTCATTTTCTTCATTTCCATTTATTTATTTTCATATATTACTAGTATATCACATATTTATCAGGAATTATTTAATCACTTGCCAATGGCGCCCAAGAGCCAGTGAATGCAATTGAGCACATTTTTTGACAACGAAAAATTATTCGGAAAACTAAGGAAAATCACGATCATCATCAATCATCATGAAGGAATCACGCAAGTACCACGATATATTTAATTACCACTTAAATTACCATTACAAGCGATGAAGTGGCAGAGCTGCACGAGCACGGAGGGAACCCCGTCCTCGAACCCGTCCTCCACCTCCCTGTCGTAGAGCTCCCGGAGGCTCCGTCCGAAGGGAGAGTCCTTCCCGGGCCCGGGGCCCGACTCGGACGGGAGCCGCACGGCGCCGCCGCGGCGCGGCGGTCCCGCGGGAGGGCCCGGATCGACCGCCGCCACCCGGCCGCCCCCCCGCGACCCGGCGGTGGGCTCTCCCCGCTCCCTCGACGCCACCCGGCGCGACCCCGTCCGCATCCCCGCTCCTTTCGACGCGTTTATTTCTTTATTTGCGGCGTGTCCGTCGCCATTTACGGCTCGTGGGCTCTCCCTAAATCTTTCGGCAGTTCGTATATCTTCTGCGAGGGGACTCAGTCGACGCGTGCGGCTCCGGGGGAGTCGAGAGAGACGGAAGGGCACCGGGACTTCCGGTTTACTCCCGGCCTGGATCGGAATCTCTCTCTTCCTTGCGTGGAACGTCCTGGTCGTCGAATCGAGGGCGTTAAAAATGTCGCGAATTTTCTCGGATAGAAAAATGAGGTTCCGATTGTTTGACGGCTCCTTAGAAGGTCCCGCATTTCTTTATTTTTTTATCACAATTTTTTTCTTCGCAATTATTGGTCGCAACTTTCGATTTTGCCGAGCAACCGAGAACCGTCAGCGGCGAGCAAAGGAATCAGGAAATGCCATCGCCAGTTCGATTTATCGTACCCTGGCTCGCCGTCGTCTGTGAGTTCCACGCGGTCTTTCCCACAATTCATCCTCTAAACCCTGAAGGTCGACCCGGCTCTGAACAGCGACGCTGGCGCGAGACAGCAGCGCGATGGCCAGCCCCGCGAAACGTTACGCGTTCGGGCCGCAGAGAGTGAGCATCATCATCGAGAACGACCAGGTCCTTCGCCACCTGTCGAAGGGGAAGCACAGCTTCCGCGTCGTGCCCGAGTACGTGATCGTGGAGCGACGCGTGCCGCGACCGACCGCGAGGCCCCGCGAGCCCTGCCTCCGCAGACCTCCGGAATGCCCCGGACCGCGAGGGAAGCCTCACCCCCGGAGCAGACGACGTTCCCCTCGTGTCATCGCGGCTAAGAATGCGCGGGGCCAGGGGTCGCGTGTGACGTCACCCCCGACATCCATTCCCCTGCCCTCTCGCCTCCGGGCTCCACCCATCCCACAATGAATCCCTCTAAATACATCGCGTTTACGACACTTCCCTCGCGGTCGTCCTCCATTCGCCTCCCGCCAATCGCAATCGGGGCAAGAAATGTTCCGATTCGACGAATCTTTCATGCTAGCTCTGATGAAAGTTATTCCATCGCTGATGCAGCTTTAAGGACAGATAATAGTGAAAGTACCGTGCGTGAACCGTTATTTGCACGGTTGATTTAAGCAGCTTCCTGGAACAAACTGCCCCCCTACCCCCCTACCCCGCTGCCCCTCTGCCCCTCTGCCCCCCACTGGACTGTTTTCATAAATCCTCTCCCGAACGAGCGGAACTGATCGAATTCGTTCCAGACACGTTTAATTGCAGTGAAAGTTCTCGGCGACGAATTGCGGGGCTATTCAGTCTGTGCCGTGAAGTTGCATCAGACATCAGCAGTTGCAACAAGCAGACTAAAGGGAACAAAACGAAAAAGGCCAGGGAATTGATTCTGGCTGATTTTACCGGTCCTAAAAAAAAAAAGTTCCTGTTAAAAAAAAAAATCCTCAATCGACAAATCGTGCGAGACATCGCATCAAAGCGGCTGAAACTTGAATAGAGTTTTCGTCATCTGCACGCCAGTCGTGAAGAAAAAACGCGATTCGTTGTCCAGGCAGGTACTCTCATGCTCTGAATGGCGGCAAAGGGATAAGGGATTGAGTAGTTGAATTACCTCGTTTTGCATCACTGCTGTGCCGGTGGCCAGACGGTTATCTCGATTGCGCAATAGAGCGGACGAAGTCCAGAGCAAGGTGCTGGGATGACATCAACATTGACGGGGACCCAAGAAAGACCGGCCATTCATCACCACGATGACACATTCCTCCTGTCAATCCAGGCGACGCCCTATGAATGTCATCTCGAGCGTGGCGATCCATCAGTTCTTTGAGGGGGAATCTGGGTCTAATGAAAAATACTCGGCTTGAAAATGAACCGTCATAATTCAGCGGTACCCTTGACACAAACGGTGGGGGGGGGAAAGTACAACATGATTGTAAAACAGTGATAACATGGCATTGAAGATCAGACAGAAACAAAACATCATATGAAAAAAGTAAAACAATTGGTTGCAGAGGTTCAAATGAGACTTTTATTCACGAACTAAAATAAGAGGAAAAAGTCCTCGATGCCTCAGACTAAGCACCTCCCCTCATAAATGAGAATGTCAGTCCACAACTTCTATGCCTCCAGGGTATTAGTTTGTGGAATATCAAGGCAAAAGCCAAAATCAATCACAGGCGATGACTATACAAAGCGGCAACACTCGGTCAACGGGTACCAAGCAATAGGTTAGGGGGGGGAAGGCGAGAAATTGGAAATTAAAAAGGGATCAGAGGTGAAGAGTGCAGAACGGGAGGGAACAATGGGCAAAGTCCTCATACAAAGTGGAGGAAGAACACAAGCATCCAATTATACTTCGGAATGAACTGATCCAGCAGAGAAAGACTGGGAAACCACGATGGATAATCTGAATGGGATGTGCAGCACCAATAGGGGTTCATCGTTCATGAGGGAACACACTGAGACAACACAGATGGTGGGACTCAAAGTCTCAGCGTGTCAGCCATCAGGCAGACTGTCGTCATCGTCTGGGGGCTCGCCCCGAGGCAGTCCAGCGTGTGCGAGCCCGGCCATGGGACCCAGGTTTCGAGCGGCCATCAGGGCCTCCATGTCTTGAATTTCCTGATCACGGCGGTTCTGGCGGAGCATACGATCCCGCTGTGACGCCGCCTCGCTCCCGTCTGCGCTCCCCAACGTCACCGCTGGGAGGTGTGGTAGCATCATCGGAGAAGAAAGATTCAATGGCTGGATTGCACTTCGCATGGGTGAGGTCAGGGGAGGGACTTGAGCAGGGCATTCAAAGTGGACACAGTGGAATACCTGTCAAAAAACAGTTTTGGGTAGAGACAGATTTTCCTGCAACACTTACCTGAAATTCAAATACATCATTGTACCAAAAGTTTAGATGCATAAATCAAGTACTTTCATCTTTACTAGCAATATATGAAAGCAGAGAATGCAACATTTACAAGTTTTCCTTTCCGTTTTAACTTTTTTACATTTTCCATCAATTTGTGAATTGGTATTCATGCCTAGTAAGGGTTTGACAAACCTCGTTGGCTGTGTTGTGAGTTCCAACAATGCGTATGAAAACGACCGGTCGGCGAGGAAAGTAAACGGTCTGCCATGACTTGCATTGGATCCGTGTCTTGTCACACACCAGGTCCCAATCCCGGTGGTTCACAGATACTTCGATGTAGTAGCTGTAGGATCGGTCATCACAGTCCCAGAGCAACAACCTGGCAAAAAGGGCATCGGTCAGCGAGACGCAGCTGGCTCAGAAGCGGAGATCCAGGAACGGAGAATGACAGGAACCTCATGGACTCCAACATGTAAGGCTGAGACAGCTGCACCACAATGGCTCCAGTCCCCAGCTGGTGGCAGGTGTAGCCAGAATCCCAGTCATAATGCACCGTGTCCCCATTGAGGAGAGCATTGCGACTTCGACTAACTCCTTCGATGACTATAGCTTTCATCTCTGTCGTTGCCATGTTCTCAGCAGGTACTGCCAAAAAGGATCACAAAAGTCTTCATGAATGAATAGAGTAGAATAAAAATTACACTTTCAAATGAATTTGTAATTTTTTTTAACTACCCAGGAGTCCTTTGTCCAATGTGAAGGGCATCTTCGTATACATGACTTCGAGGTGAACTACATGAAAAACGCGATTGACAGTGTTGTTGGTGCCAACGATGCGGACATACTGAATGACATGCGGATGGAAAAAGAGTCGTTGCCAAGAACGACAGTGGTGCAGGCTGTGATCGATGACACGAACCCAGTCCTGGCCATCCATAGAGACTTCGATGTAGTAAGAATAAGACCTGAAAAGGACAATAATGAGCAATAATAATGTACATCAAAAGGCCAATCTGCAACGTTTTTTAATGCCTTACCTCATGTCTCGATCCCACAGAAGGAGCTTCATGTGATTGACAATGCAGGGCATGCCAAGTTTCACGACGATCCCCGTCCCAAGGTCGTCTATGGCATGCCTCGTAAAGCCCCGTTCCATGTCGTAGTTCTGGCAGTCTCCATCCAGCAGAGCCTGCTTCATCTCCCCCACCAATACAGCGGCTCCAAGCTTGGACCTGGCCACATTCTCTTCTGGCACTGCAACACCATAATAACAAATGTCATCAACTGTAAGCAATGCAGAATTGCAGCCAGCTCTGCCCATGAATCTTACATAAGAAGCCTCGATGCTTGAGGTCCATGGACTTGCTCTCGATGCACAACTTGATTGCATCAAGCATCGTGTCTGCCGATACAAGCCCCGTCGGTCGCACCACATTCAAGAGATCAGAAAGACTGATGAGAGGAAGACGGATGCAACTCAGGATCTCATCTGAATTCTCATCAGGATTTGCCTTGACCCAATCACATACAGCCTTGAATATGGTAACTTCAGGGGCACAGAAGCTGTCTCGACACAGGATCTCCTTAATCACAGGCTATGGGAATAAGCAAGATTCCTAAATCAGTGTAACATATAAGAGGTTCCAACTGTTTCAAAACTTTTGAAACTGATAGCAATCATGAGCTCCATCTTCAAGAATGAGGATTAGATTACTCCTGCAAAAGAAATTCATGCAGAGGGAGCACTTCAATGATACAAAATCTAAAAATTTTCCAATGGCTATAAACAGCAAAAATGAGAGACAGAAAGCATAAAACGCACAGAAGATAGACACAGGAAGCTTTCTTGATGCATAATCTCTTGGGCATGACAATCCATGAATGAGAGGCAAACAGACTCCAGCTTCTTCTGAGTATACAAGTTGGCAGCCCCATAGATCACACAGACATTCTGGATGCTGAGAATGGCCTTGAGATAGTCTGAGACTGCTTCTTCCAAATCTCCAAATCCATAGAGGTGAGCCAGACCTAAGATGTCCAAGATTTCCTCCTCCTAAAAAATTAAATATAAAAATTGATGAAGTTCTTCTTCCTGAGCATCTCCTAACTTTTTAAATATACCTTACTCTTTGCTCATTGAGAGACATTTTTCCAGTATATATGTATTGTAGAAGGGCACGAAAAGCAGCCAAGGAGGTATTTTTCAGGTGTATCTCGGATTCACGTGACTCCTTCATTCCTCCATATAGCAAGGCCCTTCAGACAGCACAAGAGGCCATAAATACATGAATGAATACATACCATAGGAAACCCACTTCAAATAGGAATTATTCAGGCCTACCGAAAGTATTCACTTCTTGCTGCGAGAATGACCTTATGGCACTTGAATCGTTCCCCCTCCACTATGATGATGATATCACTGTAATCATCATTCAAGTGGAGGGACCCAATATGGGATGCAAGGAAGTGTGTGTGCTCAATCTCGCCGACAACATTTGCAGCAGACAGTAACGGATGCTGGTCACTCATCCTGCCACGCTGGTCAGCATGGCTGAATAAATCATCACGACCAGAAATTTGAGAGTTTTTTTTACCTGGAAACAGGAATAATTTTTCATAAAAAGAGAGGCAAAAGGAAAAGATGGCAACTGCAGCCATGACTTTATCCTATTAGCCAGTAAGTCATGCAAATTGATAGGTTTAGATTAGTAGCAGTATAAAAACTCCAGGCCCATCTCCTTCTTATTAAAAGAACAACCATTAAAGAAATTTGCTATCACTGAGCAATGAATGCACACTTACAAAATGAGCAATCCCAAGAAACCTTAAGGACAGGGAATTGAACTGGAAGAGATCAGGTGGCACATATTTCATTCTCATATTTGATGATGTCACTGATCACATAAGAAACATTGAAGCATGCTTTGGGCTTGACAATTCTGATCACGTGAACTCTCCCGGAATATCCCAAGGTGCTCATCATACCAGAAGCAAGTCCTCCTCAGCAATTGGAGTAGAATACCTATGATTTCCAAAGATTTCTTCAAGCCAAGTCAGCCACAACTTGAATTAGTTGAACAGGCTGCCTGAAATATTCATTTCAAGCAAAGGCTTTGGCTTTCTACAAATGCACTTCCACTGAATGGGTATATAATACTACACGTAAGAAAAAGCAGTCTCATGCTTTATCTGGGATCAATTCACACAGATCCAGGGCCGGATTAAGGGGGGGCAAAGGGGGCAGTTGCCCTGGGCCCCACTCTTCCAGGGGGGCCCCCGAAGGAAATTAAAAACATTAGGTATAAAAAAAAGTATTGAATTTGCGTAAAGTAGTGGAGGGGGGGGAGCCCCAGGAATTCACTTGCCCCTGGCCTCGCAACTTCTTAATCCGGCCCGGAACAGACCCCATTGAAAATCTTTTAAAATGAAGCACTCAGATACCTTCAATAGAATAATATACCATTGCAACATGCAGATTAGCCTCTAGATAAGGAAATATGAGAAGTCTTGTCTTCATGTGAATCCTTAGCATTCCAATTCAACATCAATAATGAACATTCTGATCATCCAAGAATCGTGGCTGATGCATCATCATAGGAGTACTTTTACATCATGTCCATTGTGATTATGATGATTATCCCTTCTGAGCCTATCTCTGAGGCAGATGTAAGAATAGCCTTATCTCTGCTGCAGAGCAAACATTACCATGGTCCTGATAACACATGTTCCTACCTTTTTCACTGGGAACCTACATTCCCCACACTCCTGGTAAACATGGGTAGCTCTCTCATCTTTTACTATCCTCTACTTGACAAATGAGAGATTTATGCAGTTTCAATAGACAAGATCCCAGCAGTATACAATATGAAAAACTTCTTTCATTAACATAAGAAGTAGGTGATATCATATTGAAGATAATTTCCAATAGGATGACAACCACCTTTATGATCTTTATGCAAACATTATCAGGGCTGCCCTTAGGCAACTCTTGCATCTTGGGCAATCATATCCAGATACTGTGATTATATTAGAAGCATCTTTAAAACCGAGGTATGATAGCTACTATGATAGGGATACCTTACATTCTCTCTGACTTGGAGATTTCTGTTTAGATAAAGATGATGAACATCTTTAAAAAAAAATGCTTCCAACAATATGTCAACAGAATGTGGGATAAACAACTTACCAGGATTTGGACTTCCAAGGGGCAGGAAGCAATGCAACCTTATACCATTGTTTCCAAAATCTTGATGTCTAGTTTCCAGACCTACCCTGAGCTAACTTACCCTCTCAAGCACATGTTTTGTATGATGATTTTGATCTATAATCTTACTGATCCTACTGATCTATAATCTTAAGCTTCAATGCCTAAAGGAAAATTCAACCCAATATTCCATTTATATACAGGGAAATTTTGGTAATGTCATTTGCAGAATAAAAACTTTGTCCCTGCATTCTTTTTGGTTCTCTTTCCAAAGCAATTATTAGGTTTTCCAGCAGGAAGTCAATGTTCCATAGTCCACAGTCCTGTCACAATTTTAGAAGAAAGCTAAAATTGGGAAGAGGATCAGAATTTAATAGCTCTGTATTTACTGGATGTAACTGTTTCAAAATGAATTTTGACTCATATTTAGCAAGAAATTCCTTGATACAGACTCTTGGCATTGAATTTGTTGCAGCTGGCTTGGGTATACAATTCCACCAATAGTTTCAAGGGGGCTTGATCAAGGTACATTTATAGAAGAGAGAATTGGGATTACACACTTGGACACTCCCACCAAAGAGTGCAAACCTCTTATTTCTCCTCATCTTAGTAACATGGCACAGTTGCCACTTGAATAGGAATTGATACTTGGTTCCAGTTTCCTAGTTTGATATGATGATGATTGATAAAGTTGAACTTTGTGCCTCCAGTGACAAAGAAAGAGAAATTCTTATCACTTCATACTTGGACACTATAGGGTTCTCATTATAGCACTGAGTTAGGATGGTGTAGGACAGCAGCTAATAAGAGTTCAGCATTCTGTCTTTACAATTCATGCAATATTTCAACAGAGGAGAATTATTCATCTACTACTATTCAGCTACTCAGGTTTTTCTTGACAGTTACAAGTTAGGTAGACATGATCATGAGGGATAAATACCATTTCAGAAATGTGACATGCCAATAATCAAAGAAAATTGGTCATCTTCCAACATCAATATCAGTTGTTGCTAAGGTGTCCTCAAGCACAAAACCAGATATCAGTTCATATGGAAGCTTAATGTCTCAATGGAAAGGATGGAGTCCATGATGAATGTCCATTTTCCCATTTTTTTGGAGAAAGATGCTACAATTGAAAGACAGCATAACAAAAACAAAGCATGGGTCTATCACATTCATGTGGGTGCCCCAATACCAACATAGCTTGGGAAAGACTAGCTTCTGCAAATGCAAGTTGGTTGGGACTGAATTACTTTCAGGAAGACCCCATGGCATGAAAAAAAATTTGCGCTCTCACCAATTGTTAAATCTTGAATTTGATACCAGTTGAGGAAATTTAATCCTGCTGAAACTTGAATTGGATGCTACTCTATACTTCCAATGATCATGTTCAGCTTCTCAGGCTTTACTGGTACTAAGAGTTTGACCACAGAAAAGCTAGGAGTTCATGTTCCTGCACATGCTTCAGATTGGGCAGCTCAACAAGCAGTTTTTAAGCATGGTATCAGGCAAAATTGGCTCATGTGAGGACCACAAGGTTTTGCATATAGGTACAGGCTTGTACCTAGCCAAAGGTCAGAAGAGGCTTTTGCATCTTTGAATGAAGGCAAAAGGTTCATAAAGCTTGACTTTTCTGGGCAAAGCTTGCAATCCAAGGGCTTTGATTAAGCTCAGGAAGTTTAGTTTATTATGCCATCTCTTGCCCCACTGCTCTCATTGTCTCATGTCTTGGGACCAACAGAGATTTGGTCAGTGTTACTCCTCTGGTTTTTTTAAATCTACACGGAGTGTGACATTAGGCCTAATGCTTGAGTTAGTCAATAAATGTGAACTGGAAAGGGGAGTTTATGAATGAGAAGAACTAAATCCAATTCTGGTACAAATTAAGCAATGAATCTCCATGACCCAGACTGATATCAACAAATTCTCATCATAGCTAAAATGCTGGAAAGCAGAAAACAAATGTGAGATGAAGCTTGCACAGATTTCCTAAAACTGGATCCGCCTAGATATCAACTTTGTGTGGGGCCAACACCACCCAAGTGCTTGGAATCAGTAACAAAGTCTACTTAATGTCTTTGTATACTTTAGACTGGATGCAAGATTCTCCTATCTGAGGCACTTGATTGTGATTTCACAATTAAATTCCAACAACTTTTACATTGTGCAATACCTTTTCCATAGTGTATTCAAGGAAACAATATAAATAATATTAGATCTATGGAGCCCATGTTAAAGGTGGTAAAAACTCATTACCAAATCACCATAGTGGATTAAGTTTGCTGAACCAATCATAATACTCATTTCTGCAGATGACTTCTCTAGCCCTTCATTCCTCATTAAGATCTTCCTCACTCTCAAGAATAGGGCCTGGTACTTGCTGCAACATACAAGAATATAAATTTTAAAAAGTGGTTTAGCTGAGTTTCAAATCTGTACAAACATAGAAAGGAAAGTGGGAGAAAGGGAGGGGGAGGGGAGTTGGTAGGAAACTTTGTCTTAAGATGTAGAATGTAGTTTTTTTTGTAGTTTTTATGATAGAGCTCAATTTTGTTAAAGAGATCATCCCTGTCTACCACTTTTCTATGCAAGAAGCTATACTAGTACTGAACTGTTCTAACAGGGATGCAGTAAATTAAGCATTGCAAGCCCATCCTGAATATGTTTGTGTTTCTCATCAGCAATCCTTGCAGTCAAGGTTAAGCTGGGATTGGTCACATATAAGCTTAAGCAATAAAACTAGCCTACAGTTTCTACACCTAGTCTCTCATGTCTCCTGTCTTGGGGTTTTCACTAGCATGTCTGAGTTGGCAGTCCAAATGCAGTCACTGAGCACCAACTGTGCAACTCCCTTCTGAACCTTTTAAAGCAAGGTCTCATCCCTGATTTCATGCAGGTCCCAGATAACCAAAGTGTACTCCATCATGGGTCTCATTAGGAGCATATGTGCAGTCACCTTGACCTGAATTTCTAATAAGTGGACCCAGGATCTTCCAAGCCATTTAAAAGTTGCTATGTTCATGTATTTAACCCCATCTAGGTTTTCATTAATGACCCCTAGACATTTGATGAAATCTACTATCTCAAAGGGGTCCTGTCTAAAACATAGTAGATGAATAGAATGATATATATATCCTGAGTACTTTCCATTCACCTGGTTTAAATCTGGAGAACCATTCCTTAGACCATTGGTAAAGTATGTTTAAGTCTTCCTGCAGTAGGATGCTGTCAGCCTGACTATGAATGTCAAGGTATACAATACAATCATCAGCAAATAGCCTAACATGCAAGGAAATACTCCCCTAAATTTGATTGATGAAAAGCAAGAACAAGAGCGATCCCAGGACTGACCTTTGTGGAACCCAATCTTTCAGGCATCCAGACAGAAACTGGTTGGATTGTCTGGAGAAGGATTGGATGGAAGCTCAGCCTCATGTTACTATTTGATAAATATTTCCAACAACTATCATTAGCGAACTTAGATTTAGTTTACTTGACATATGTCTTCCCAATTCAAAGTTTGATAGACCTAACGTTATACGTAGGGTTGGCGTGACTACCTATATCCCTTAGGCCTAAGCCCAAGTCAGCTCTCCATTTTGGGGCGGAGACAGCTCGGACAAGAGGCACTGTCCAGGCGAAATTACCAATATTTATGACATATGGTGAAGGCAACTGTGCTTGGTTTACAGACCAAGATACGTTCTAGTTTCCGAAACTACAGTTGGCACCTTTTTGGCTAATTCCAACAGCCATTAATTGCATTTTGGTTTCATTCATTCGTCTCTATATTAGGTGAGCGTTGACCTCAATAGGAAAAGCCTGCAGGCGTACCAGTTCCAGGGACACTAGCGAAGGATGCAGCCATGTTGATTGACGTCAATGCCTCACGTGACACCTATCGCACGGTCATCGAACCTCTAGTCATGTGATCCTTCGATAGATGTCGACGACCCCCGCAGTCCGAGTCCCGTGCTCGCCGTTCCCCGCCGCGTCCCTCAGTGGGCCTTCTCCGTCTCTCCATGCAGGACAGCCGGTCCTCG